GGGCTTATTTATTTATTTTATAAATGCCATCTGAAGCCTTGAATTTATAGAAAATAGGTTGTGGAGTGGCTCAGGAAGCAGATGATGGAGTATATTCTTTTTTTCTCAGTACATCTCCTTTGTACCCAGGCATTTATGTACTCTCACTAGGAAGAGATTTATTCAGCAGTGTGACATTTATAAAAGACTTTCACTCTTTTTTGACTATGTTAGTTCTTTTCTTTTCCATGGGAAACAGACAATGGTTGAATGGGAAGCAGTAATTGAAAGTACAGCAAAGATGATTGTATTGCTAATAAAATGTCTTGAGAATCATACAACACTGGCAGAGTAGCTGCATCCCGTGTGATGACTGATCAGTGCCTGGAGCATCCAAATGCAGAAAGCTGATGCTTTGAAATACACAGGTGCAACTTCCCAGCCCAGATGGCAGCGCTGGTGTTGGAGCAGAACTCTAATCTCTCAAGTACTCCAGCGAGCTGAGCTGCCAAGGCAATAGTTTTCTTCCATTATCTTGTTCCTCGGTTAAACCTGACTTGAAAGACAAAACAAACCATTTAAGACAACACTGTTGGAAAAGCTGAGGTGTTAACAGTCACCTAGAGCCTTCCACGTGCAGTTGGCCTCTGAAATCATATCTGTTGTTCTCATTTTTATGACACACTTTAGGAATGACTGTTGTTATAGGGATCAGCTTCGCTGAGAAATGCCTGCCATGCTAATATTTGTTCTGTGATGGATAGCAAAGGCTAAATATAACCTTCCCTTTTCTTTGCATTTTTAGATGGCAGAGTTGAATTTTTTTCTTAGTACAGCCAGGGTAAGGCTGCTCTGAGCCTCCCCTTGCACTAAATTGCCTTCGGAGAGGGAGGAGGAGTTGGAAGCATCAGTGAGAGGGTCAGGCTGCACATCCAGGGTCTGAAAGCTGAACCCTGCAATGAGAGGGTTTTTTTCCTGTATTGTTGTGCTGCATTTGTGTGGTTGATAATCTTGCTGTAAGTGTTCCCTTCAGGAAGAGGTCTTTTGCTTTTTTCTGTTGAATCATTCTGCTGTTGTATCCTTTTGTTAGGTTACCTGTGCACACACACCTCCCCACATGTGTGCCAGCAACAGTGAAAGGGCCAGTGCAGGTCGGGTCCCTTACTGGAGCAGGAAGATCCCACCCAGGTGCACTGCCAAGTGCTGCCACGTCCCCAGCAGAGGCAGGAGCGAAGCTTTCAGAGTGCACTGGATGCTATAGGGGTATGTGGGAATTAGCAATAATTCTTCCCTGTCTCCTGGATTGCTCTCCTTCCTCCCCAGCTCCTGTGGTGGTGATGCTGGCAGCTGCAGAAGCTGGTGAGCCAGTCTGAGCACATCCCCTCCTTGCGTAGGAGGGAGCAGGCAGCGAGGCAGGATAGCCTGGGGTAAGAATAGCCAGGAAAGGAACTCTCCTAACACAGAGGTCTTGGAAGCGATGGCATTTCCTTGTATTTTACAATGCTATGTAAATGAATATTAAATTAATAATTTATTGCAATCAATGCGCTTAAATGTAATTATGAAAATTTATTGAAAAGAAGGTAGCAAAATTCAAGGCACTCACCTCCTCCACTTCCAGGCTCTTCTGTGCACAATGCATGTTTAACCATGAAGTAGTATCATGCTTAACTCTGAGTAGATCAGTTTGCCCCAAAATTCCAGTTTTCTTCTCTAGGGACCTTCTAGAAATAGTTTCTTGGCAAAGAGCTGCCACAGTTACTGTGTCTGGGCTCTGTAGGGCTGAACCCTGGGAAGGGAAACTGTGGAGATGAGTCAGGCAGGCAAGGAATAGCAGTCACTTCACTGGGACTGTTCATATGTCAAAACTCTAATTTTGACCCTAACCCTGAGCTGAGCCCCAACCCAGGGTCTCAGGTGTGTCCCCAGGTTGAGCAGTGCTGTGGGTTGAGTCACTGGCAGCCCTGGAGCTGCTTTTGCAGCCTCTGGAGCCCCACTGCCTGCCCAGCCGAGTGCTCCCACCTTCTGAGCTCAGCCCTGCAGGGGCTTAGCTGAGTTTTGCTGAATGGCATCTCAGCAGGCAGGCACAGTGTGCTGCCCCTGCTACCTCTGTCCACCCTTGCTGCAGGACAGGAGCTGTAGGACCTTAGTTGAGGTGACCTCAGCAAAGGTCTGGGAGAGATGGGCACCCCCATCCCAGCTGGCAGACCTGCCCTTGCTTAATACCAGATCTACATCAGGGAAGTCAAACAAGCTTTGTTTCCCCCTCAGTTTTCACTTGTCATCTTCTCATGGAAACCCTCCTACACGTGCAAGCTTTCTCCACACTTGGAGTTCACTGGAGGATTAGTTTCCCATTTCTCTCTGTGCTGCAGACCTGACTCTCAGACTCTCTACACTCACACCATCCTCCCTCCCTGCTAATGATACAGGTAACCAGCTGACTAATCCCTCTCCCTGGTACCTCACCCTCTGGGTGAGTTTAATAATAAAAGGAAATAAAAGTGGTTGCTGTGTGGATGCATCCATCAGCCCCAGCCTTGGGCACCACCTGAGGAAAGGCTTTTTCCTCACTCTGTATCCGTGCTGTGTTACACACTGGGGAGACTGATAGGAATGTAATATGTATATCAGTGTATTTTAATCAGTAGCAAGAACGACTCTCCCTATTCCCATGACTTTCTTATTTCCTTCTTAGGAAGGCTATGTTGCACTTGTTACTTTCTGTTATACCGTGATAGTTAGTAAAAGATTTTATGCCAAATTTATGCTCAGTGAATTATCCCTGAAACTTGCAGAGCTATAGCAGAATTTAATTTGGCAGTGTGGAGTTGATGTTGCTCCCAGTAATGTCTTCAGCTGAAAATCTCAGCTTTCAATTGCCTTACTTAGAGAAAAAATAGGCCCATGTCTCTAGTCTTTCTCAGAAGGAGTGCCAGAGGCACTGCCATGGCAGGGAGACTCTGCTGCTGCTGTATGTGAAGAAGTGTGGCAGCAATCTGTGCCAGAGGCATTTAGGAAATCTACCCCTGAAGGCAAAGTTTTCTGAAAGGTGAGGAGTATTTTAACAAATGCATTAACGTCTGTGGCATGTTCAGTACCTTTGATTTTCTTTTTAAGGTCTTGTGGTGGAGTAATTCAGAGGTGATGTGCAGCATCCTCCTGATACTGGGGGCAGAAGAGGCAGTTTGAATGAAAGCTTAATAGAAATTCAGTGTGCTGTCATGCTGAGCACGGAATTGGTTGACTGCATAAATCTAAATGTCAAATATCTATGAAGTTTTACTAAATGGAAATAGGATGTTTTAGTTCCATGTTGTCAACACATGAAAAGAAGCATATTAATTGACAAGGAGAAAAACTCTGTATAAGTTCTTTTTAAAAAAAAAAATTAAAAATATTCAAAGTAGGACTAAGATACCACCAATGTTTTCAAGAAGAGGAAAATGTCAATTATTGATTACTTTGAGAGCTAAACATCATTTAGGCATTTATAAGGATTCTCTAAAAACTGAGAAGCATTGAGAAGTTTCTATGGCAGCCCCAAGTCTCAATACATTTGGTAGAGCACTGCTGAACAGCAAAATATAGCTTGGTGAGCAATCTAGAAATTATATTTTATTGAGTGGTGTGTATTGTTACTTTGGTTGATTTGATTTTTATCCTGTAAGAAAATTAAAGCTCAAGCACTTCCAAAGTTGGTTATATTTCTAGAGATCATCTTTGTGTGCCAGCTTTTGCCTAGAAACTCATCCGAAGATGTCAGCCATTGAAACCATTTCATGTGGAAGCATTGCTAAGTAAATTCACTAAATGCCTATTCATCCCAGTAAGATGGAGAGTCACTGGAGCAGCAAATGTGAAAATCTGTACAGCTTACTATACAGAAAGCAGTTTTCTGAGGTTGCCAAATTGAGATGCAGAGTCTGACCCTGGGAGGTATTACAGCTCCCATGAGTGAGCGTAGGAGGAGGGTCTCAGGCTCCTGCAGCCTGGTCTGTCAGGCTGGTTGATAGACAGATAATTCATTTAGTCTAGATAAAATCAGTGAGATTATGAAAATAGTTTAGTTGGCTGATAAGATTTCCAAGTTGTTGCAGCCTGACCTGAGAAGTTAATGCATTTTGTACAGGATTTTGGTTTAACTTGGTTTTCTGTGCCTTATAATAATGAAATGTTTTCAAGATACAGTACTATAGACAGCTGTTTTATCTTGAGTTTTCTGCCATCAGCTTCATTACAGACCATTGCTTAAATGGTGTTGTATCTATAAAGTTTTGGTTTTGAATGCAACTCAGGAGATTAAGATCATTTTAATGTGATTTATTCATTTTTCCTAAATATGCTGACCTAGATAAATAGAGAACATTTTTACTCCATTGTTAAAGAAATAACAGACCACAAAAGCTGTCAAGCATAAATACATTCTTGGACATGTCAGCTGAAATTTTGAAAATACTGGTGTCAGATTGCCTGTCACACTAATTGGAATTAACCTTCTAAATTCCTTTGTTCCTGTTAATTCTATTGGCATTTTGACACCAAAATTTTCCGATTTATGCATTCCAACCTTGGCCTCTTCTCTATTACAAGAATGAAAACAAATAAAGTGCCAATACTTAACCAAATTCTCCAGGAAATATCCAGCAAAGCATGTAAAATGGGACTATCAATGCAGTCATCTCACAGCTGGACTTTCATACTTAAAAAGTGTTGAGCAGTATTACTTAATACCTACTCTGTTACAGTCCTTAAAATACCTGCCAAAAGTTGATAAGAAATTCGTTAAGATGTAATAAAGTTGTGGTTCCTTCCAAGTACATTCTACTGAGTAGAGGGAGCAGCAGGATGGAAGTTTTAGCAGGTTTTAGCAAGTTTAGCAGCAGGATGGAAGTTTTTTCAGAAACCACCTCCTTCAGTCTGCGGATGGTCCCCAGATGAGAACAATAAGTCTATAAATTGCTCTAGGCATAGGGGTTTTCACAGTGTAATTTGTGCATCCTTTGTTCTTTCTCTTGCAGGACCAATGACCACCTCGTAGCATTCCTGTCCAGATACCGTGATATGAACTTCTTGAAATCCCACGGGAGGGACAACGCAAGGTACGCTGGCCCTTCCTTCACCTTATTTTAACCATGGCACTGAGGATTCTTGCACAGTGATGGTTTTCCAGTGTTTACCTGAGTGAAGAAATCAGTCAAAGCGAATGAGGAGGAAACCCTCTTCTGAGGACAGTTTATTGGTCCAGAGTGACTCCTTCCCAGAGTCAGTTTGCAAAGATGCTTTCGTGGAGAGAGAGGGACATTAAGCAGAGTGATGCTTGTTTTGTCCTTGGGGCTTGGCACAGATCAATGTTTTGTGAGCTAGCAGTCATTGGCTACACTGCCCAGTTGGTCCCAGCCACCCTGGTGACCAAGACCTGTGCTAGCTGGGGTCTGCAGCAAAGCCTTGTGCAAGCAGAGCCCCAGCTGTGGGAGCTTGTAGCAGCCTGCACATACTAGTGAGAGTGAGGACGGTGGCTGGAGTGTATCACACTCTACTAAAGTTTTGAGGTCCTTGACTTAAACTCCATCTTCATCCACCCATGAAGAGGTGTCAGGGAGAAGAGAATGTGCTGTGTTTTCTCACTTACCGTTGTGGTTTGAGGGAGCAGCAGTGACCAAACACCATGTTCCAAAGATTTAACCAACCTGTGCAGATCAAAGAATTTTCCCATCTGACTGCAGTGGTCCTGTTTTCCTATTTATTGATAGTTTTGCTTTTCCTCTTTATTGCTAGTTTTGTACCTGTGCTAGCAGTCTTGTAACATGTAGTAGTTCTAGCAACTACATATGCTGAGTCCCAGTGGCTTTGCATTTAAAAATATTGTTTTATTCTGCTTGGGTCACCAGGTCATCCCTTTATTCTATAAAATGTCAAGTGTGCTGTAAGGCTGGGTTTGGTTAGAGTGCACAGAGAATGTGACACACCAAGTCTCACGTTCAGCACAGTGAGTGGGCAGAATAACACACAGGTCTCTCTCCTTCTTGGCTGTCCTTGCTCTTGTCACCAGATTTATCAGTTCTGTCATGTTCCTGTTTAAATTAAGTCTTCACGAGCATTCATCTTGTGAAGTCAGAAATTCTATAATGGGTAGTAAAAAATAATACTGTGAGGAATAATATTTAAATCCAAGTCAACAGTTTTCACAGGAGAGTCCCTCGTTTGGGAAATGCAGAGTGTCAGAGTGATTGGCAGACTCAGCTCTAGCTGGCAATAGTGATCGACAGCACAGTTAGCATAGGAAGGGGGAGAGAAAGAGCCAGGGAAGAGCAGTCGGGCTCTGCCTCCTTGCTCCTCTGGTGCACCTGAGTCTTCTCAAATTCCCTGACCTAGCTAAGGAAAATAGCTAATGAATTATGACGTGCCAGCATCAAACCGGTTTAAATATGCTAACTTCAGCTGGATCAGAACTATTTAGATCAATTAACCACACTAATCTGATACTATTTTAATAATGAAATGAGCTAATGTGCCACTTGTCCTCCCCTCACAGGAATAACAACCCACTTAGTAGTTCAATGGTTCTCTTTGTATAAACAGCTAAATACCTTTAAACCTATTGCAACAAGTCACCATGTTTTTTTTGTTCTTCTGGATTTCTACCATAAATTCCCTGTGCATCAGGGAACATGATTTGGGACGCAACTGCAGATTTGCCAGCCCTGTCTGCTATGGTTGTCTAGTCCCTGAGTCCCCTAAGCACTCCCACTGCTGACCACTGGATGAATAGATCCTTTCACATCCCCCTTGGCATCTCCCCAGTTTTTCTATCAGAGAGATAGAGTGGCTCCCCTCCTCCTGCAAATCCCAGACAGCTGCAGAGACACACTCAAGCCAGCAGCTGTGAATCTTCTGAGTAATGCTGGAGTTTGGTGAAAATTCATTCCATTGTTTCCAAAAGCTGATCAATAAGCAGTTACCCCCTGTTTGTATTGCGGGTGAATTTCCAGCTCTACATCTACCTGTTGAGAGAGAAGTTCTATCTAAAGTGAAGATCTCTAGCCTGATATTTCATTTTTAGTGTTTCATTAACTTAGTCTTGTCTAAACTGGTGAGTGTACCCTCTGCTCTATCTGTTTGACACACAGTTCCCAACTGACTTTGATTGCATGCCCAAGGTGTGTAAGCTGTCGTCATTCCAGTTATCCCTGCAGTTGGAATGATGAAGTCCTCTGGGCTGAAATACCTGCACAGGCAGGTGCAAGGAGAGCAAAGGCCCATCCAGGCTGTCACCCCATGTCTGGCTGCCTACAGCCCATGTCCCCAGAGGAACAGGAGGGATGGGTATGGTGCTGCCTTACAATATTCTCCCAGCATCTTGTGACCTTTGCCTGGGGAATTTCCACAGCCAAACTTGGTGACTTGCTCGTTTAAGAGTAAGGGATGACTATTTTTTTCTATTCACTTTTCCAGTTACTTTTTAAATTTTGCTCTTTACTCAGTCCAGGGGAAAAGAAATACCCCATGAGGTGAATAATAAGGCCAAGAGCTCAGTAAGGTCTAGAAGAGAAGCAACAGCCTCAAGGTTTGGCAACAAAAAAATAATGAAAAAAAAGAAAAGGCCAGCTTTTGGAAAGGATTTAGAACACAGGCCAGTTTTCATGTTATTAGGCAACAGGAAAAAACTCCTTTGGGATATCCTATCTCAAAACAGATTGGAACAGAATTTTTTATTTAAACCAGCTAATTAAAGCCATGATAAGGGAGAGGGCACTGGACTATACTGACTGCTCCCCCATGTACAATAATGATTTGGTTTGTCCAAGGTGTTTTTGTCAAAACATGTCAACTAATAATACAGGAGCTCAGCATCTAAATATCATTGAAAGCAATGTATAGTCCCTGCTGGTAATTTTAATTTTAATTTGTGAATGAATAATGGTTCCTAAGCAATAAGCTTTTCAATTGTCTAAGTCTGCTTTTTAAACAACTGGAAACTCTGAGTTTTAAGTCATCATAGTCTTTGGATCATATAACGGAGAGAGAAAGATTAGAAGTGCCATCTTAAAACCAAAATGCTTATACAGCTCGATTACAATGGACTTTGTATTCAAGCCATGTTCACAATCAGTACATGTTTTACTGCCAAATAAGGAGAAAAACCAGGCTCCCCTTTACAGAGTGAAGTTTTCTTTTAGTTATGCCAAAGTCATTAAGAAGTGCATCGCTCTGATTTTCCTTTAGTGGCTTCAGTAAAGGGAATGGACATGAAAATGGCTCCTACACTCAGCTGGAGAAGTGTTATCTCCTGAGAGAGGTGGATGTATGAAATGAAATTGCATATAGTGGCTGGAGTCGTTACATAGTACTTACTGGGCAACACATTTTCTCCTCTTTTCAGTGTCTCAGACTATTAAAAGCAAGTGAATAACCTGGGTTGTTTATTTGTTTGTTTGTTTGGGGGGGGTGTTGTTGTTGTTGTTTTTGCTAGGAGATTTTTTCTTTTTTTGGTAGGAGCAGCACCTGGCTGGTGTATTATAAAATATAAAGACAGTCAAATGTGACATCTTCGATAACAGGCAGGACAAAAGGGTTTTTTTAGAGAAATCTTGCCACAGTAATCATTTGGGAAACAGTGTAAACATGCTGTGAAGGCTGGATGCTGTTAGATCTTAGAGGAATCTCGAGCTCATAGACAAAATACAAACAGCTAAAGAAAAGGCCATTAAAAGCTTGGTATGTATCTGAGTTCTTTTCTTGTGCTGTTCTTCTTCTCATTAATGCTGTTCTTTGCAGTTGTGTTGTTCCCTTTCTCACTCCTGGGTTCCAGATAATTTTAGAGGTGTTGATGAACACTACTAAGGAGCATCACAATCCCGTCCCAGTTCTCAGAGGCTGGAGAGATCTGAAATACCAAAGGACTGGACCACTTTCCCAAAGTCTCCACCTCTTTCAGCCCAGTTCTGCTGATAAATACCTGTTTCACCACCCTTTCAGACGTGCCTTTTTTCCCCAGTGGCACATGCTGTTTGTTGGTGTTCTGTACACTGGGTTGATGGTGGTTTGGTGGTTGGTTAGAAAATGGATCACACAGTAAATGCTGTTGTGTGTTGAATTGATGAATTTCCCAGTAAGTACCCAAATACTAGGGAAAAAAATTGATTAACTATCCCTGATGTTGGAATGGTTTAACCACTTAGGTCCTAGCAGCATATACATTGCAGCTCATGTGAAATACTTGGTGGTTCATTTGGCATTACTCTCAGCCATACTTTTTTTTGCTAGATTTTATAAAACTCTTTGGGCACATGGACTAAGATCTATTTTTTGCTTGGAAGTAGTTCAGCCCAACAGTTGCATGAGAAATGTAGCGACTGAAATAGCAACATGCATCTTCTCTGCAAAGAGGCTGCGCTTAAAAAATTTAGACATTCCAGCTAACTTTCAAATGTTCTTTAGTGCTTTATGCTAAGCATTAGGGGAGCCATAAAGCCTTTACTGCTTCAACTTGACAGTATGCCTCCTTGTAGGCCTTTTACTTCCACTCAGTTTTGGAAAACAGTGCTCTAGGTTGTCAATGCAAAGAAAAACAAAACCAGCCATGTGTCTTGACGTGGGATTAAGCAGGATGTTCTTTGTTCTTAGAGTATACAAGCAAGATCATCCACTAGTTCAGGAAGGTGCAATAAGTGAGAAGGTTTGAAGTGACCATGCTTTATGGGGCTGGAACAGAATTAGGAAGAAGGTGAAAATTGAGGTACTGGTAAAGTAATCAGAAATCCTATTGCTATCTAGGAACATTGAGCTGCACAGTTCATTTTCAGCTGTATGAATGGTAACTTTTGTACCCCGTCATCTGAGGTTCTGAGACTTCATAAAATGGTTATGGCAGGGAACATCCTCTTAGGCTGGAACAGATGTTGTTGGCCCTGATGTACCCACAGGTCAGTAGCCTGATTTGGTAGCTTGAAATCTGTATAGAAGTGACTCCCACTTGCCCTCAGCCACTTGGAAAGCTGGAATGTTTGAAACCCCATTTCCTTTTCCTTCTCCAATGTCCAGCATGCGGATCCTGAGGCGTTAAGCACAGTAGAACCCTCGGTGAGACGCCGTTGTGGTG